TACTTCAAAGTTAGATAAAAGAGTTACCACATATAAAGTGTAATATACTTAAAATAAGACCCAAAACTCGAGCGCCTTCGAATAGTTGACCATTCTTCTTCAGGAGAACAAGAATAATAGTCAACTATTCGAAAGCGCCCGAGTTTTGGGTCTTATTTTAAGTCTACTTCAAAGTTAGAGATGGCTAGCACAGAAAACCCTCGAGTAGCTGAGCGTGAAATTTAATAATCAAACAATTCCTATCTTAGCCGAAGACATCTTGTGCCACTTTATTTTCCTTCCAGGAATTTGTCTGGTAAAGTGCAAAAAACAATATCATTCATAGTCCTTTTTGGCGCATATTTCTTCTTCGACTGGTTTTGTTAAAAACTGTGAGATGTCACTAATATTAGATAGGCGATTTCGTTTCTCGATAGATCCGGTGTATTATTATTGTTCGGTGCACACGTCTCTCAAATGTGTTACCATACAGAACAGTTTTTAGCATAAATCTATATAATAGGTAATCTGTGCTCTGTCCACCACGAAAAATTGAACCCCGGAGATTAGCGTTATAAGTCCATAAAGTTACCGTTGATCCTCGGAGACTGCAGGACAGAAGTTCAAAATTAAAAAAAAACAGATTTTGATGCAGTGTTAAGTCATAGCATTTGCATTTAACATATTTGTTTATATTTGATAAGTACAACGAAACTCAGATTAATGCAGTAGAAATAATTGCTATAGACAGTGCCTAATCGCAAGAAATTATCGAAAAAAGCTTTTAACGAAGGGTTGATATTAATTTCTGACAGAAAACAAGCTACGTACAAAAAATATAACTATGATTCAATCTGGTAATGAGCATATCGAATTAACAATATAAATATAACTATAATTCAATCTGGTAATGAGCATATCGAATTAACAATATAAATATAACTATAATTCAATCTGGTAATGAGCATATCGAATTAACAATATAAATATAACTATAATTCAATCTGGTAATGAGCATATCGAATTAAAAATACTGTCATTAAATTCTTACATGTGAAAATTAGAATGCATAGTTTTATCATTTGGGTACCCTCGCATTAACGATATTTTCGACTGTAATCCTAATAATATCTCACGAGTTTCGGCCAATTCAGAAGATTTATGTGAGTTCTAACTCCATATACTAAGCCAACAATATAAGATAATTTCTATAACAAGAGGGAATCCTCAATAGTCGCGCCACTTGAAATTCTTTTAGGCAAAATTAGGGTAAATTAATCTATGAGACCTTTTTTTCCTTTTTATTACCTTTATTTTTGTGCGCCAGCAATACCAAGCGTGGTAGCACATACACCCGATTCGATTTTATTACTCATCAGAATCTCTACGAGCTCACCCCCAAATTGAAATTAATTTAGCCAAAATTATAGTAAATTAATCCTTGAGACCTTGGGCGTGATCAAATAAATCAATCGAAAAGATTTGAACTCCTGAGTCCAAAACTGTAATTAGATCTCAAATCGGTCAAGAGATGAAGGAACTATGACCTAAAAGGTTGTACTTGAAAACAAAAACAAAAAAAAACACGAGACATTCTATGAGCCGCTATGGCGCGGCTAATAGG